AAAGCTCAACTCTACATATACTAGTCACATATATAGGACAATGCTCGACATGGGGTGCTCTAAGTCTAACATGATCAAGGTCGTGAGCCACTAGAAGGATCACGTTTGGCGTGACTCTTCCCATGCCTAGTGAAATCACGATAGGGAGCCCCCTAAAGCTCCCAAACCTAGTGTGATCGAGCTCACACCCAACGTCAATAATGTCGTGACAATTTTGGGCTTCCACACCTAGCAAGCTCAAGGTGGTGTTTGGTGTGATATCAATAATTTCAATTATACAAAATTTGCAATTTACTCATTCGATGGGTTCTATAATCTACATGAATTCATATTAAAAGAGTGCATCTATAGTCTAATTAATTTAGTTTCATTAGTGGTTCTAGTTTGAAATTGCTTATCTAATAATTATTGATCAATTCAAAATCTCTAGGGTTCTCACAAAACTCACAAGCACTCATAGATTAATAAACAGAGATGGATTCACATATCTATAGCACATCCATAGCATAACAAAATGTTAAGAAAATCAAAGAGGTGTCATATACATATCATAATCAAGAACAAAATTTTCAGTTTCGCCTATCACATATATCTACACACTACAAGAAAAATGCAAATTTTTGACGGACTCAAATCCGTCGGAAAATAATTTTCAATGAAAAAATCTGTCAAAAATTTTAGACAAAAAAATTCGTCAGAAAATATTCGTCGGAAATTTTCGATAAATTTTTATCTGTCAGAAATTTTTGACGGAAAAAAAAATCCATAAAAAATTTTTGACAAAAAATCCGTCGAAAAAAATCCATCGAAAATTATCGACGAATATAAATCCGTCGTTTGTCAGAAAATTTATGTTTTCGATGAAAAAATAATTCGTAGAAAAAGTTATATTATTGATGAAATATTTTTGACAAATTTATATTTTTCGAAAATGTAAGAATTTATTTACAAAAATTGACACTCATATATTAAAAAAGAATCAATAAAATTTTAAATATATATATATATATATATATATATATATTGTATATATGAGGAGGGTTATAATAACACCAGTATAATTTGTGCTAAGTATTACATCGGTCAATAACTTTGTATTAAATGAGAATTTTGTAAATCCAACCATTAAATTAAAAAAAAAATTACTCTTAAATTATATATACAAAATTTTATATTAATCAAAGATGATTTCTTATAAAACAAAATTAATGTAATATATACATTTCAAAATATATAAAATATGAACATTTTGATTACCTTGACGTTGTTGTTCAATTTTAATAAAATTTGATATAAACATATAAAGTGATATGAACTTTTAATCAAACGGTTGGATTTACAAAATTCACATTTAATATAAAGTTATTAAATGACGTGTAATACTTAATAAAGGTTACACTAGTATTAGTATATACACACATATATATATATATGTATATATATATATATAGAGAGAGAGAGAGAGAGAATATATATATAGAGAGAGAGACAGAGGAGGAATCAAATAATTTACAAAATAACTTTTGGTAAAGTTATTCCGCTTAATAACTCATGGTGTGTGTTAAATTTCATCGATCCAATTGTTAAATTAAAAGTTATTAATTACTAATAATTATTATAAAAACAATTAATTAGCTTTGGAATATGTTATTTTCTAATTAACAATATATACATTAATTATTTTAAATTATTTAACTAAAATCTTATTGACAGTTTACTATATGATCTTGATATTTTTGTATAACTAATAATTGGTTTTAAACTTGATATGAAAATATTATGATATAAACAAATAAGATTTTAAGTTAGTATTTTATTAATGGTTGATAATTAGAAAATAAAATAAGGATAAATACATTTTTTGAATTTTATATGTTTGATTTAAGATAAATAAATATATTAAATTAATTAATAATTTATATTTAAAATGTTAAAATTTAATTTATAAGTATGTAATAAATAAATATTTATAATTTTATAAATTATATTATCATTATAAATTATAAAATTAAATAATTTAAATTATAATTTTAAATAAAAATAAGTAGATTGTTAATTATAAAAGTAAGTACATATAAATAAACAATAATTAAATATATTATTATTATTATTATTATTCTTAATATAAAATTATTATATTATTATTATAGTACAAGTATGAGATTGTATAGTTGAGGATGACTTAAATGAATTAATTTGTACAAATTATACTGACAACATAGATATACATTTCGGTAGCCTTTTTTCGACGGATTGAAATCCGTCAAAAATACTTTATTCCGTCGGAAATTTAGTTGTTTATGTCAGAAATTAGCATTTTTCTTGTAGTGACATACATACACAACCTATGGGATTTGGGGTCCATCTCGCTACCCAACAAATAACCCACACCCGAAGCAAGGTTCTCACTCCCTTTACCTCAATGGATGCTAAAATCTCAAGGTTATCATTTTACTTTATTAATTTTCTCATTTTTTTACTCAACACACATGTTTTTGGTACATAAACACACATTAAGACTAGGTCGATACAATTCCACAAACAAATTTCTTAAAACTATGTATTTTACAAGAATTTATAATATCTTTCTTATTTGAAAATATTAAAGTATTTTTCAGTCCCCACTAAAATGAATTCCTAGATTTGCTACTGGTGGGAAGTGCCATGCTAGACGCAAAAGCTACAAAGAGACCCATGTCCTCTCGACATTAGATGCAAGTGATGTCTCATCTAACGCTATTTGACGCTATTATACATAAGTTTTTGGTTAGGCATGACCTTAACCTCACTAGGAATAAACACTCTAGATATGGTTCTGACCTCTTGACCTTGAGCATGAGAAGTGCCATGCTATGCGCAAATGCTCCAAAGAGGTTCCTAACTTCTTAGAGTTGGTCAAAAGGAATATCTCGTTGGGTGTAGTGATAAAAGTTGGTAAGTTATCTTAAGTGCTTAACCTTGAGGATAGTTTGAGATACATGTGAGATACATGTGATAACAATTAAGGTATAAAAAGTGTGAGCATGAGTTGTGATAATTGTGTAATTGGAGAAAGGTAATGAGAAAGATATTTGATAATAGACAAGAAATCCTTGTGTTTGAAATTGTGTAACTATGTGTGATATAAGACTATTTATATGTGATGTGAGATAATTCTACGCAATGGGTTAATTAACAAGTGAAATCCTTATTATCTTCGTCATTTGTGAAGTTTAGACATAGAGGTCTAGTAGGGTGGTAGTCTAGGCTTGACTTAGCAACGTAATATATGTGAAAGGTTCGTTATGCATTTCATGTATTGTGTGATGTGTTTAGAGTCCATGCATTTATAGATATTTTGTTTGGAAGTAGACGTGAGTTTGGGTGAAGGTCTCCATAGACTTCAACCTTGGCCCAAAGAGTGTTATAGTGGAAATCTCTAACATGGAATGAGAGGTGACCATGTGCAACTATAATACCTCAACTGACTCCTAATAGATCTTGTTCCAATGAGATTGGATTGTGTGTTGATTACCTATCGTACAAAAGTTAGTTTTCTTATTTATGCACTCTTAAACTACTTCTACTCGTGCACCTTGTGTGAAATGTGATTTTTACCACATGCATATATAATTAAAACATGAGTCCTCACAAGTTCAAGTCCCACAATTTTTGAGATGTGAGTGTATATGCGCTTGAGTTATTGTTGTATGTATTTAGATATTATATATTCTTTGTATCTACTTATACATATGTGAGATATATTCTTAATCTTCTATGTTGTGGTGAGTTTTCTTGCTAGAGCCAAATGCCACTTTCAGGTGTAAATCAGGTAAAAGAGTTTGAGCCAATAAGAAATGAAGCTTAGCCTTCAATTTTATTTTAAAAGGACTACACTCTGATTATTATGACATTAAGATGATTGATTTATTCATCCTTTTGTTTATGTTTGATTTTGACAACCTTACTTTAGAGTTAACTCTTTCATCATGTTTAGTTTTAAAATTTCTTTTAAGAACCTATATAGGTAGCTTTACTCTTTTACCAAAATTATTTTATTATTAAAATACTAGAATTTTATATTACAAGACTACGCGATGTAAATTGTATCTTTGTATGCAAATTTTTATATATAACACGCTTTAACTTATTTTTATATTTTATTGAAACATTTTAGAATAAAAATATTTTAATTTACATATACTTTATTATAATTTTTAATTATATATATAAAAAAATGCACGAAATAAAATACTAATAATATTTTACATGAACTAAAAATAACTAATGATCTTAAACATGCAATGCAGACTTATTTTAAAAAAAATATTAAACATACTCATGCGCTTTGTACGAAAATGTAATTGGTATCACATGCATATATAATTAAGAATATGAGTCTTTACAAGTCTAAATCCCACATTTTTTGAGATATGAATGTATATGTGCTTGAGTTATTGTTGTATGTAGTTAGATACTATACATATTCATATGTATCTACTTATTATACATATGTGATATTCTCAATCTTCTATATGTTGTGGTATGTTTTCTTTCTTGAGTTGAATACCACTTTCAAATATAGATGATGTAAAAGAGTTTGAGCAAATTTAGGAGATGAAACTTACCCTTCAATTTTATTTTAAAAGGACTGCACAGGATTAAGATGGTTGATTTATCTATCCTTTTGTTTATGTTTGATTTTGGGAACCTTACTTTAGAGTTAATTCTTTTACCTTGTTTAGTTTTTAAATTTCTTTTAAAAACTTGTAAAGACAACTTTATTCATTTACCAAAAAAATATTTTATTATATAAATATTAGAGCTTTATATTGCAAGAATACGCAATGTAAATTATAACTTTGTATGCGAATTTTTATATATAACACACGTCTTAATTTATTTATATATTTTATTAAAACATTTTAGCTCATGATCTTAAACATGCGATACAGATTTTAAAAAAATAAAATTAAACATATGCAATACATATACCAATCATACAATCAAAATTCCAACAGTTAATGCTTGCTAACAAAATCAACAATGGCTTGAATGAGCTTATCAACTTCCAATGCTGTTTTCGGATCCGACTCAATAGCAATCTTATTAAGATAAAAGCAATGCCCCACTCCATGGCTCACCACAACCTCCACCTCCTTCCCCGCACCTTTCATGGCCTCACAATACTCCATCTCGGTGTCAAACAACAAATCCTCCTCCGCCACCGCCACCATCACCGGCGGCAAACTCAGCGCCGCAAGCGGCGGCGCTCGCGGCCCCATCGGGCTTATAACAGGGTGGTCCTTACTCCTCTCACTAGCCACGGGCACAGCCAAATCCATGAACTTATTTATCATGTCACGCGTCAAGAAGGGCGTTTCCGTCTTTTCATAAAACGACCCTCTCAGCTCGGCTCGAAGAAAGCCAGGGTGTAAGGCTATCGCACCCGATAGCCTCACCGGCTC